ACTGTGTATAATCACATCCTAAGATTGTGAGTACTATTGCAGATGTGTTAAGTCAGAAGAACTCATGGAGAAGCATGATGAATCCTCTAGGTCTTCATAGGATGGCTCTGAGAACAAATGGAGGTAGTGTTGGATTGACATGAAGATGGATGAGCATATAAGGATTTGTAGCTGCTGACCAATGATAACCTAAGATTGTTCACAAACAACAGCGACAAGGAGGGAAGGAAGAGGTGCCATAGGGTGCTTAGCTCATTTTGTCCATTTGCAAATCTCTACTCCAAAAATCAGTATGTGATAATACAAGTCACTTCTCTTTATAGGTTGTTATGCTGTTGCTGCCATCTCAAGGAAATATCAAACTAGATAATAATTTGTGAAGTATTTCTTAATTTGTGCACATTTCTCTAATCTTCGCTCCCATTTTCCCTACAGATATTGACAAATTGACTCATATTTCTTGATTTATGATTGCAACTAAATTCTAATATTAATTAATTTTCAGTCTTAAATCATAAATGTATGTCGCTTCTTTCAATATTTTAGTACTGTAATAAAGACACAGTAGAGCAGCTTCTAGAAGATGCCTTTTCTTCAATGGCATCCACCTATGAGAGTGAGATCACACAAGTATTACCTTGTTATTAGAAACTCAATTTTGAACATTTTGTGAACTACATGACACTGAAGGACATGCCTGTCATTTTCATTGGGAAACCTTAAGCAAGCTAATCCTGTCATATAATGCACAGACTTCAAATCAGGAAATTATTTTGTTATTCATGATGGCAAGAAATAATACATAGAAGAAAAAGGAAAAGTTTGTAACCTGAACCTATAGTTTGTTGCCTGTGTTAGTCAGTACTTTCTAAAACTCAAGATGCACATGTATTGTGCATCTGTGTTTCTGAAATGGGGTCTAGCGTCCTTCACTTGTGGAGTCCTCCTTCCCAAGTAGCTCACATCAATATTTGAATGTAATAATACCAAGGAAGTGCCTAATATAAAATCAAAACCACAGGCAGGCAGAAAAGAGTAGCAAAATAGTCATTAAAGCATCGAAAGATTTAAAAATAATTTATTTATTTAACAATTTAATGTGTGTGTATGTGTGTGTGTAAAGACCACATATATAAAATAACTTTTGTAAGGTGACTCATTCCTTTCACAATGGTAATTTCAGGAATCAGCTTCCGTTGTGAGGCTTGAGAAGTGGTCTCACATATTCAAGCATCTTGCTGTTTCAAAAGTTCTAAGTAGGATACAATGTACATAGTTCTGTGCAAATATTCAACAAGAGATAACAGAACCCTAGCTTTTTTATTTTTTCCTTCCTTTATCCCTTTCTCCTTCCTTATCTCCTTTCCTACCTCCTTTCATTCTCTCTCTCTTTTGTTTCTTTTTTATATTTCTTTTTTTATTTTGTTTTTGTCTATTACTATTTTATTTTCAGATTATTTTACTTTTTAAATTTTTCAAACAACATATTTGATCATATTGTTTCCCTTCCCCCACTATTCCCAGTTCCTTCCATCTCTTTACCCATCTAACTTCATGCTCTTTCTCTTTCAAGCAAAACATAACAAACAAAACAAAACAGAAAAATCACCAAAAAACAAAGCAACAACAACAATACGAAAAACAAACATAAAGAATGGATGAAGTAAAATGGGCAATCAGACAAAATAAAACAAATTAAAAACTGCACACACCCACACCCACACACACATACCCACACACACCCACCCACACCCACACCCACACACACACACACACACACCATAGAGTCTCTTTAATTTTGATTAACTACCCCTGACTATGAGGCCTGCCCTGGAGTGTGTTTGATATTTCAGCGACACTTCATTGGAGATAACTGACTTTCCCTTTTCCAAGTTATGTGTTAGAAATAACCAGCCTGGTCTACAAGAGCTAGTTCCAGGACAGGCTCCAAAGCCACAGAGAAACCCTGTCTCGAAAAACCAAAAAAAAAAAAAAAAAAAAAAAAAAAAAAAAAAAAAAAAAAAAAAAAAAACAAAAATAACATNNNAAAAAAAAAAAAAAAAAAAAAAAAAAAAAAAAAAAAAAAAAAAAAAAAAAAAAAAAAAAAAAATTCAGGCTAAGGTTGTTACTATTTGTTTACTTCTGTTTTTTTTTTTTTTGGTTCTGGCATTTTGTTTGATTTGAACCTGTGCTGATCTTACATGCTTGTTTTCATCATTTCTATGACTTCACATGTGAATCAGTCCTGTTGTGTCTAGAAGATGCTGTCTCCTTGGAGTCAACCATCATATCTGGCTCTTAAACTCTATGCACCCACCTCTTCTCCTGCATATTCCCTGAGCCTGGTGGATGTGTTGGACAGAGACAACTAAGGTACATAGTCACTTTAAGCATGTATGAGTTAAATCATACCTGAACAAACCCACATGGTCCTGACATTCCTCTTGCTTTTCCCTAATTGCCCCTGTTATTTCTTTCATTCCTGATTCATTCATTCTTTCCTCAATTTAGAGCAACTCCCTTTTCTGACCATCCATGCCCCTAAAGCCCTGCCAGTTAAATATAGTATTGTGATATTAGATAAGTAGTAGGTGTGATATTAGATAATTAGTAGCATGTGTGCTTTAGAAACCATCATTCTTTATCAATACTCTCTAATCCTTACTTAAGGACAAGCACTGGCCCATTTTGTTCTTTCTCCGACCTTTTTCTTTATAATTTTGTTTTGTATTTCCATGAGATTTTTACTTATTAATTTATAATGCATCAAAAGTGTCATGCAGTATAATATTTATCATCCTAAGCACTAATATTCATCAGTGTGTCTCTATGGGTCAGTCTGCTAAGGAATCAAGCAAAGAGATTATGTCTGGATTCTTGAGCATTCTGAGTAGAGGCTCATGGAGTAAATTTCTCTGCCATCATCATAAGTAGGAAAGGCTGTGAATAGAGAGATTCTTATAAATTAATATCTACAACTTTGGTTCTCGAATTTTCTAATACTTGGAGGCCTTAATATAGTTTCTTCTTTGTGTTGTCACCCAAACAATTATTCATTGCTATTTCATAAGTGTAATTTTTCTACTGTTAAATATCATAATGTAATAGTTAATCAACAGGATAGTTGATATGTGTCCTCTGTCCTGTGGTGTTCATAACCCATAGTTTATGAACACTGATCTACATAGTGTTTCCACTGGAGATAAAACTAAAGAGAAGATGTAAAAGTCAGCCTCAGGGAAGGTAACTCCTGAACTTGATCTGAAAGTGCTTAGTAGTCAAAGCCTTAAGAAAGTATGGTGGTGACAAACACGACAGACCTAAACCTGAACAAAGGGTTCCACAGGTTTCACTGAAGGATCTGGAGACTCTAGCTGGCTAATCTGATCTCTTAGGTGACCTCAGGAAGGAAGAGACACCCAGACTTTTGATGGCACAAACACCTAAGAAAGAATTTTCTTGACCAAGAAAATTTGCATATTTGCAAGAAGGGCCCTGTCAGATCTCTGAAAAATGTTGAAGCATAAGAGAGACCCATACCATGTCTGTATCAGCAGAATTCACTGGTGTCTGCACCATGGCCTGGATTCCTCTCTACTTCCTCCTCCTTCACTGCACAGGTGAGGAGAGTCATCTAGACCCCGATGCCAGTTCAGGGAAACAAACTGACAACAAGGTATATTTTCCTCTCTTCTCTCACCCGAGGAGATAATCTGTTTCTCTTTTACAGGGTCTTTCTCCCAACCTTTGCTGACTCAGTCACCCACAGCCTCAGCCTCCCTGGGAGCCTCAGTCAAACTCACCTGCACCTTGAGTAGTGACTACAGCACCAACACCATTTATTGGTACCAGCAACAGCCAGACAAGGCCCCTAAGTATCTGATGTATGTTTACAGTAGTGGAAACCATGGAAAGGGAGATGGGATCCCTGATCGCTTCTCTGGCTCCAGTTCTGGAGCTCAGCGTTACTTAAGCATCTCCAACATTCAGCCTGAGGATGAAGCAGACTATTTCTGTGCTACATATCGTAACAGTGTTGTACACAGTGACCCGTATAAATGAGGAAGCAGGACAAGAACTATTTTCCACTTTTGCTACCAAGACTAGCCTATGGTTTTGAAAATAACCATCTAAAGTTCTTACTTATCACACTCTTTGTATATTTTCTTCTTATTATTCAAGGGGATAGATCATAGTTCTAGCTTCTGAGCACCTCAGGATGAAGAAGAAAAGCAAGGATTATATTGAGTTTACTCCTGTGTAAAATTAATGACTATGTAAAATCAAATGTTATGTGTACAGAGCTGAGTAGGTGTGAACATTCTTCTATAAAGTTAAAGAATTGAGTTTAAAGTTCTCACTGTTACTCAGCAAAGTTCACAGAAATATATATTCATTGTAAAAATACTTTATTCTCTCATGCCCTGTCTTTTAACTCCAAATCGCTAAGAAGTACAATGTAAAGACATTTATGAAGTAGTGTGGTAGGGCCCCTAGACACATTAAAAAAAATATTAGAAACAGCCACAATGGCTGAGCATCATCCTCAAATGTTCACAAACTTTCCTTATTGCTTCTGACACTCCTCTTTACTTAGTAAGCCTTCCCAGATTTTTTAAAGGAAGAATAGAATTATCCACTATATTGTTTAGTCTCTGCAAAATTCTTTTTTTATAATTTTTTTATTGAAAAAAAATTTCCGCCGCCTCCCCGCCTCCCATTTCCCTCCCCGTCTCCATTTTCCCTCCCCCTCCTCCCACTCTTCTCCCCCTCCCTCTCCAGTCCAAAGAGAGTCAGGGTTCCCTGCCCTGTGGAAAGACCAAAGTCCTCCCCCCGCCATCCTGGTCTAGGAAGGTGAACATCCAAACTGGCTAGGCTCCCACAAAGCCAGAACATGAAGTAGTAGAAGCCAGTGCCATTGTCTTTGGCTTCTCAGCAACCCTCATTGTCCGCCATATTCAGAGAGTCTGGTTTTATCCCATGCTTTTTCAGTCCCAGTCCAGCTGTCCTTGGTGAGCTCCCAATAGATCAGCCCCACTGTCTCCATGGGTGGGTGCACCTCTTGTGGTCCTGAATTCTTTGCTCATATTCTCCCTTCTTCTGCTCCTCCTTGGGACAATGGGAGCTCAGTCCGGTGCTCCAGTGTGGGTCTCTGTCTCTATCTCCATCCATCTCCAGATGAAGGTTCTATGGTGATATGCAAGATATTCATCAGTATGGCTATAAAATAGGGTCATTTCAGGTTCCCTGTCCTCAGCTGCCCCAGGAATTAACTGGGGACATCGCCCTGGGCACCTGGGAGCCCATCTAGTTCCAAGTCTCTTGCCAACCCTAAGAGGCTCCCTTAATTACGATATGTGCTTCCCTGCTCCCCTATCCACCCTTCCTTTATCCCAATCATCCTGCTTCCCAAGTTCCCCCCAACCTCCCCTTCTCACTTTTCTCTCCCCATCTCCCCTTACCCCCATCCCACCCTACCCCCAA